CACTGCTTTTGCTGTTAGCCAGAGAGGCAGGCCAAGCCCTGCTGGGTGCCAGCTGTACTTTGCTGCTGTAGTTCTGAAGGGTACCTCTAAGGTCTGCCTGCACAGACAGACCAGCGTGGCCATCTGCAGAAATAAAAGGCATCCAAATGGAAAACATCAGCTTCATGAGAGCTCACAGGCAAAAAAACAACCCTGGTTCAACAATGCTGCTTTACACCACCACTGACAGTGCAAATCTCTGCTTATTATTGCACTTAGGAGTGCACAGGTGCTAACCAAACCAGCATATACTAGTTGAAAACCCCTGTACTTCTCAAGTTACGCATGATGACGTTTTTCAGAGTCTGAATGAAAAGGCGATTTTTATGTAGGTGCAATGATTCAGTTGGCCAGAATTTCGCCCAGATGTTCACTGTGACCACAAGCTGTGGGCGCGCACACACAGACACACACAGACACACACTGACACTGACACACACACTGACACAGGCACACACACTGACACACACATTGACACACAGACACAAACAAACACACACACACAGACACCCCCACACACACTGACACACAGACACAAACACACACACAGGCACACACACAGACACACACACTGACACAGGCACACACACACACAGACACACACACACATTGACAGACAACTCAGCTGTTTGTGACACAAACACACACAGACACAAACACACACAGACACAAACACACACAGACACAAACACACACAGACACAAACACACACAGACACAAACACACACAGACACAAACACACACAGACACAAACACACACAGACACAAACACACACAGACACAAACACACACAGACACAAACACACACACAGCTCCCCACACAGGTTCTCACTCTTCACTGCACACTGGAACCAGACTCCCACCGCTGCCCACGCCCGCTGTGCCGGGCGGGCTGGCAAGGAAAGCCCCAGCAGGCCTCGGGGATGGCGCAGACAGGCCAAGGGCACCGCCCTGCGCGCTGCCCCCCACGCCAAGGCCCCGCCGGGCACAACGCACCCTCACCCCACGACCCAGCCCCCCCAGCCCACGGCAACACCTCACTGTGCCCGTGGGGACGATTTCTGGGCGGCAGCGGGACCTGCAGACACGTCTCTGGGCTCAAGGTCCCCTAAGGAGGCGGCGGGGACGAACCCCTGGGTCGGGCACC